GCCCCTTTGGCCCCCGCCATCCTTTCCCCAAGTTTTCGGGGGGGGGGGGGGGGGGTTCCACACCGTGCAGGGAGGGGTGTTAACGTCGCCGGCAAAGGAGAGGTTGTACCCACACTAATATCTCCCGCCGCGCCCACACATAGTTCAAGCGGCCGTCTTCGCGAGAAATTGAGTTTATTTTTATGAGGAAATAGAACGGGGGGAGGGAGTACGCAGACCCTACCTATCCCTAACCCATCTTTCCCGATTGCATGCTTTATCCAACACGCGAGTCAATAGAAAACACTGCTTAAGGCCAACGAATGAGGGGCGGCACAGCGCACATCTTTTCCCCAACGCTCGCCGTTCTCGGCGGCGCCACTCTTTTCCGCCGTGGGGGCGAGATCGAGCCTTAAAAAAATCTGTGCTTTGGCGAGGATCTTACTCATAAACCTATGAATACCGCAGGTGGCATACGATGTCACACCCCCTGGAACGATTTTCGAAGCTAGACTACTCCACGACGAAGAGGATGCACAAATCGAAGCGTACGTTTTTGGAGAGCTCTCGACAAGACGGTTCCAACGCCTCCCGAATTTTCGGCACCGTCACTTCTTTTCTTGCCGAAAAATCGACCTTCGGAAATCGGTCCAGGGGGTGTGATATCTTACGCAACCTATTACTATGAGCCCATGAATAGATAGGGGGGGGGGTCGTATCCTAACCCTCAACCCACACCCGTACCCCCCCTAAACCAGCAAATCGCACAGCAATAATATCCTCGCGAAAGCTACTGGAGCATCTGCTTTAGTGTGATGCCATACGGCACTACCCACGGTGGGAATGTACAAATACTTTCAAAAAATTCCAAATACTCAGCTGGTCGCCACAACAAAGATGCAAATCACACCAGCAGCAACAGCAACCACCACCACTATTATAGCACGAGGGTTTCTTGATGCGTGCGTATGTTCTCTTTACAGAAATTGGCTGGCATCAACCGCGCTACTTTTGGCTTACCAAGAGTGCATTCCTACGTGCTGTATCTACATATGTACTAAATATAACTACACATGAAAAACGGCGGAGGGATAAAAGAACTGCTTTGGGGAGCACGCTTTGCTATTTGGTATACAGCAGTGGGGAGCCCGGTACTCCGGTACTGCTGTACTGCTGCAGCGGCCCCTTACACAACAAGTAGTGTCACGACGAAATGTGGCCGGTATTCAGGGCAGGTCGCTAAACCGACCTATTTGTATTACAGCAGTAGCTGTACCAACAATTTAGGAGGTATTACAATATTGACGTGGTCTTGCTGTCGCTAAACAGGGCATGTCGCTAAACCGGGCCACTGCTGTAGCGACCCACTACACAACAAGGGAGTGTCACGACGAAATGTAGCCGGTATTCAGGGCAGGTCGCTAAACCGACCTACTAGCTGTACCAACAATTTAGCAGGTATTACATACAACACTACCGGGATGCGGCGGTTTGACGTGGTCTCGTGGTCGCTAAATAGGGCATGTCGCTATTTGTAAACCGGGCCCCCTACGATATTCCTGAATAGTCAACGGCCTCGCGGCCGGTGTCGTGCATGCACACATGACATGAGGGCACCACATGCGGGAGCACCGCTTGCCGTTCGTGTGTGCCGCTTTCCTGTCTTCTTGTTGAGGTTGGGAATCTCACATATGTATACAGCAGCAGTACATGTGTAACCGGGAAGGGTGTACGCATTTCAAAGCACGGCTAAGAAACGAGAAGTGGTCGTTATTACAATGTACAAGGCTATGAGACACCAGGCTGCCAAAATGCGGGGGGGAAAATCAAAGAAAGAAGACACACTGTTGTGTGTGGAGGGCAGCGAGATGCGAGCGTGTATGGTACCATCCGTTGCACAACCAACAGAAAACTCACCCAAATCCAGAAATCTGTTGCCTGTCAGCAATATGTTCAATAGTCCTCACGGCGAAAGATAGGTGGCCACTAAGATACAACATACCATGGTTTGTGCTAAAGGCACCTCGAGCCCACATACATAGAAAAAGTACTGCTATCGTCCACATACACCAAGTAGTTGGCCAAAAGGAGCCGATTGTGATTTTTTGTGACAGCGTGTGGCGCGCTGGTTAGACTACTGCTGTACAAGGAAGTTACAATGTTTTTCAAATCCATCGCTGATTTGATTGTGAAGCCGCACGCACCGCTAGACCATCACCGGACAGACGCTCTCTCGCACAAAAAGGGCAGGCGTTGGCGAAACTACTCCGTGGCGCCATACACTGGCGACATGGGCTCCCGGCCACAGCAAGAGCAAAAAAGCGGCATGCACGCAGCCGATTCTGTCTTGTCTTTACGCAATGCATTACGGCGTGTTTTGAAGTGTCGTGCGATGCCGCCCCACGCTCTCACGAGGGCGCAACGAGAGTATTTTACAAAAATGGCTTGCCGCGTGGTGGTACTACGCACGCGAACGCAGGGACGCACGTCACGCGGCCCTCCCCTCCCGCGCCCGACCCCTGGTATACCAGCAAGAACGCCCGCCCCTCTCACCTGTGGAGTCTGTCTCGCCACTTGTGGGGAGTCCGGGGTATGGTGATGTTCCGACCGTAAAAACAAGCGTGCCCGTGCTATGACAGCGGGTAGAACTGTTAGGGGGCACGCGAATAGTAAATGGGGCACATCTTTATTATTGAATGGGTACGTTTCAAAAATGCTATTTGCGCTGCCTCTGACTGTCAGCTGCTCTCCTGCGAGGCGGTGCTGCTGTGATGCTCGTGTTGTGCGGGGGCTTTACAGAGAAGAAGAAGGGAAGGAGAGAGAGAGAGAGAGAGAGAAGGAGGGGGAAAGAACGCTGCACCGCGCTTGATCTGCGTGCCTGTCTGTTTGGTGCCGGCACCGCAGCGGGCGACGGCGTGTTGTGATCGCCTTTGAAGGAGGGGGAGAGGTCATCAGGCGAGGAGCGGGTTTGCGCCTGTTTTTCCTCTCGCGAAGGAGCGACAAAGCAGCAGTTGTCGACGACCTTGCTTCCCCCTGCGGGCTGTGTTTGCAACACGGCATGAGAGAGGCAGAGACGGAGGGAGTGAGAGAGCAATTGCCCATGGACAGGCAGAGAAACGTCGGGGGTGCACAGCAGAAGCAGCAGCAATGTACGGCATGTAATATGACTGCTGCTGCTGCTGAGCTGCGTTTTTTGAAGCCAGCAGGGTTCATCCAGCACAAGATGAGGACGAGCAGCGGCAGTGCTCGAGACGGGGGCTTGGCGAGGGAGGAAGGGACGGGAAGCATGGGCGGCAGCAGCAGGAGAAGGAGGAGAGGATCCAGCGCGAGGACGCTCGCGGCGGGGCTGGCGTTGACCCTTGCCGCCTGCTCGACTCCGGCGTACGGGTGAGAGAGACGAGCGAGCAAGATTCGGTTTTTGAGACGCACGTGACGTCGGCGGTTTTTTTTACTTGATATTTGAAGACGGAACATATGCATTGTACATGTGTGCGATGGTGTGCGTGCTTTTTGTGACAGCTTATATCATAGACCTCCGTTGTAGGTGTGTGGATTGGTTGGTGCACTCCGGTTGGTTCCTTGCGGCATATATTCGCGAGCTGCTCGCGGAACACAGGAACACTTAGGGTTGCAAGCTCCACCTTATCGCTGCAGCGGCACTCTGGGCTGCTGCGGGTAGTATTTCGGATCATTCATTCCCCCACAACACACACAGCTGTGTGAGGGTCCGCATCACACATTTTTCATGTATTGTATCCTCTCTTCAACAGCTATTAGCTGCGGTTGCGAGGTTAAAGCGCGACTGCTGTGCCTCCGTAGTGTTTGCCACAGATCCAAGGCGTATCATGCTCTCGAGCGTGCGGCCCAAGCCTCTGTCTACACTCGAACAACGGCACCAGCTGCGGAGACGATTCTTTCATGACGGGTCAATTTATTTTACATAGCTGCTGTGCGCATGATGTGTTGTGAGACCGATTTTCGGAAGTTCTCGTGGAATGATTCACGGAGCCCCTCTTGGACAGTCGTCGTGTTCCCTGCTGCTGCCTGCAGCGTTATATTCATGATGAGGAGGCTTTTCGTCATCGCGATCGACGGGTCTGCGCATACCGTAGGTAGACTCCTCGTATAAAAAATCGGGGAGTGTGCAAAATAGAATAAAGGCCGTAGTTTTTGTTGTTTCCAATCGATTTTTCTTGTTTGTGCAGCCGCCAGCATCACTGAAACCTATCCATTGCAAGCGAAATGCAGGGTCTGGGCCTTTAAACAAACGTCGCCACCGTGGCCGTTGAAATCATCCGGTAGGCGCCGGTGCCGCTCCCTCACTACCGACCGGTCCGTTGAGCACACCCTACCTGCCCACCCATTCTTACCCTCTATCGGAAACCGGTGTGTAAATACCTTTTTTTGAGACGGTGCGTTCATTCCCCACGAAACCAGCTGGACGTGAGAATGTTGGAACAATTATATTCATGACCCAGATGACCCGCCCCCCCCCCCCGGTTTTTCGTGGGCGAGGTGTTTCACGCCTGATCGGAAACAGCAGTTTGCGCCCGCGCTCAAGAGTTTAGCTGCCAAGAGATTTGTCGAGCCTCGAAAAGCTCAAGTCTACTCGTATGAACTTGAACCTCAGCACCTTTTTGTGGGCTCGGTCGAAGATGCCTCTACGCTATTACATACGTATGCATAGATACCGTACGACGGCCATTCGCGTGTACCATGTTACACTAGCCCTAGTCTCCTTGACCAAAACTAGAGGTTCTCGAGTGCGGGTGCCATATGTACACATGCACTCGTACATGTATGCCTCGTCACACGCCGGCACCGATGTCTAATAGGTAGACCGCCTAGACGCAACGGCCTACGTACAGGCACGGCCGCTTCACAGCGAGGTGGCCTCGAAAGGGATGTCAGGGGGATACGCAGAGTGCACAATATATGTCACGGGGGGGGAGGAAGGGTACGCAGAGTGTGAAAGGGATGTCAAGAAGAATGTGCAGGCGGAGAGAGCCACTGCACCACGATGTGGGCTCGCAAAAACCCTCCTTGCTTGCGTGCGAGGATTGCGAAAGGGGTGTAATGGGGGGTACGCGGAGTGCTAATGGGATTGCCATGGGTGAAGGACCCACAGAGTGTGCAAAAATGAAAAATTTCAGTGCCACCCGCTGGGCGGCCGACACCTGTGTGGTGTTTCAGTTTTTTCTCGTGGGATATGATTGGACCTTCGGCTCACGGGGCCTCTCACCCACATCGTACTGCCTGCATCGAAAAACACAAGCAAGTGTGCCGGCGCAATATTTTTGTTGTTGCTGTAATTTTGTCGCGGGAATGCCTCGACCATGTATCGCTCGTCCTCGATCGACGGCAGTAGTCAGTCACATACCAGGCATCACTTTGTGTGTCGAGGTAGTCTCGAAACCTCGACATGTCCGATGTCCGAATTCCTAGGTCTGCAGCAGTAGTCAAGTCACATACCTGGCGGCACGTCGTTTGCCGAGATCGTCTCCCAACCTCGACATGTCCGATATCCCTCATCCTAGGTCTACCAGTGAGGCAGTCAAATAGGCAACACCTTGTGTGCCGACATCATCTCAGAACCTCGACATCGCCGTTGGAACATGGAAGGAGCGGGTCACCTTTACACTAGTACAGCAGTATTGGCACGCAGACGGTGGTTGGGCGTATGTAAAAGACATGTCTCAAGCTACCGAGCGCTTGCTACTTGCGCGATCTGCGTTTTACGAAGGTCGAGCTCCCCATGACACACGAGACACCTACCACAGCTCCCAAGAAACGGTTACACAGGAATCACGTGACATTCCGAATGATGTTTCAAGATCGACGTCCGCCACAAAAATTACAGCCACATCACAAACCCGCACAAATGTTCCTTTCGGCGTTGTCGACCTCAGGTTCATGGTCCCCGCGGGGGCGGGGGGGGCGGACCCGATTACGGGAGCGGCGGCGGCTGTGGCAGGCGGGCAGCACCGACAGCAGCAGCAGCAGCAGCAGCAGCAGTTCTCGCGGGGGGCGGTTACAGCGGCTGCTACGGCTACGGCGACCTCCCCTTCTTGCTCCGGATGCGCCGCTCCAACGACATTGATGCTGGGGACGCACGGCGGCGCTGGCGGCGGGGTAATACCGTCGTCGCGACGCTCGTCGTGGGCGGCCGGGGGGGACGGCGGATTGGAAGTCGGGGGGGCGGCGGGAGGGCGGGGGGGGACGGCGGCGTCGCTGAGGGACACCACGCGGAGACTGATAGTGTCTAGAAGGAAGCAAGGGGATGGTACGAAGTCGTTGTCGTTGTCGTTGTCGGCAAGAGGCAGCAGCAACTCGCGGGGAGTGGGCGGCAGCTCGAAGGTGACTTGTTTTTCTAACGTAGATGTCGTACAATGGAGGTACGTGTAGAGCCGCGCTAGACGCAGCAATGTCTACAGCAGCGCGGAAGTAGATGCGGCGCAATCATGAAAAACTCGCGTCCTTTGATTGGTCCAGCAACGATGTGACTATCAGACTGATATCGATTGTGTTGCTACAGACGACCCCCCTGCTTATCCCTAAGAAGGAAGCGTGAGAAGAGACTTCGGCGCAATCATGAAAAACTCGCGTCCTTTGATTGGTCCAGCAACGATGTGACTATCAGACTGATATCGATTGTGTTGCTACAGACGACCCCCCTGCTTATCCCTAAGAAGGAAGCGTGAGAAGAGACTTCGTTTCCGCCAGCGAAATATCTCCCGAAGCACGAAAACAGGCGAAATGGTAAATAGGTATACATGTACACCGAAAAAGGATTGCGACTGGCGCCAGAATATATGTGAAGCAACGCACACACGCGTCCGAATATTATTTTGGGGAAAGTGCCATGCCACTCCCTACCAATGGACGACATGTTAAGACGAGAAGACCAGATGGTGTCGGGTAGGTTTCGTTGACCGTTATCGGAACCACCTTGTAGCGGTGGTGCGGGCTTCGCAAGAGGTGCCCCCCCCCCTCCCCCCCCCCCCCGTCTTCCCGTCGGGATGTACTTCCTCAACATCAACATATTTAATTATTGTGGGCGATTATTGACGTGACGCCTGTCGCCACCCCTATACCCGAATTGTGACGCGGTTGTTTGTAGTCGGTTACCTTAGGTTGGATAAGATATCAAAAAAACCCTGGACCGATTTTCCAAAGCTCGATACCTCCGCAGAAAAAGCAGCGACGGTGCCGAAAACGGCGTCCTTGGCACCGTCTCTTCGAGAGCTTTCCGAAAACATTTACGTCATTTTCGGCATCCTCTTCGTTGTGTGGGGGTAATCGAGCTTTGAAAATTGGTCCAGGGGGTGCGATATCTTACGTCATGCAACCTACGGTGCTCTGACGCCTTTTTGCCTCCCTACTGTACACCCCCCGCGTGACCCCATCGAGTTAACGCTTTTATTCCCGACAACAACAACAACAACAACAACAACAACAACAACAACAACAACAACCCCAACGTGTGTCGACTCACAAAACAAACGAATCGCAGCAGGGGCTAGGTGGTGGTGGTTCAGGGCTGGGGGGCCCCGCGGATGGCGCTAGAGTGAGGGGGGGCTGGTCGTCGCTTCCGCCATCATCGTCGTCGTCGTTGTCGCGTCCTTCGTGCAGCTCCGAAGGACCACACCGAACGTTGCGAGACGGGGGCGCCGCCGGGAGGGCGATGGGGGCGATGGGGGCGGGGAGGGTTGGCGACGGGGGGGGGGAAGGGCGAGGGGACGACCCCAGGCGGAATTGGCAGCTCGAGGCGCAGAGGCCGGATGGGAGGTGTGTCGTTCTGTAGGTGTTTTCGAAGAGCTATTTTCTTTCGTTTTTTCAAAGTAAACATAGAGTGGGGTGCCCTCTATAGTGCGGGTTATATCGTGCGGGTGCCCGGTATAGTGCGGGTCAAATCGCCTGGCACAACTTAGACCCCTCAATAGCGCGGGTGCCGCACTATTCGGGGCACCCCTCTATTGTGCGGCTTTTGCCCCCGTGCATACCTTCAATAGTGCGGGTACTGACGTCACACCCTTCTGAGTGCGGTCAAACCCGCACAAATTCCCGACACACACAACACACAGCGCAGCAGCAGTACCCCTGCTACCGCATAGCAGCAGCACCAGCATACCCCTACAGCCCACGAGCCCAGGAGAGGCGTACACGATGCCATGTGCAGCAGGCGAACTCTGCCTGCAGCCAACCAAAACACCAGTCCAGCTTAAACGAGGCCAGCTACTTGCTGCAGAGGGCAGGGATGTTGATGATCGAAGCGCATGCATCGAAGCCATCGCGCCAGGCTCATGTCAGGGCATTTTTAGAACCGTAGAGTAATCAACCATTTTGCCGCACAGTTTTGCTGTCTTTTTTTTGGTACCGAAAGCTTCGGGTGTCTCAAGTACAGGTGTTGAATGAGCTACAACAATTTATTCGAGTTCGTAGCACGTGACGTTCGACCAACCCACCCATCCCCGCCCACGTTGTGGCGTTGTGTTTTTGGTGCGGGGTTTTGTGGGGGAAGCTGAGAGGCTGGGTGCTTGTTGATGTGTTGTTTGCTTTTGGGTTGTCCCCCCTTTCCTTGTCGTATCTGTGGGAGTCAGGAGTTCTGGGTCGTATTGAAAGTTGTTGGAACGGTTGATGCGTGGAAGGACGTATTTCGTACCGGGGGTGGATTTATCCCGTGAACATTTCAGAATGTACAAGGAGAACGTTTCACAACGGAACAACACACCTTTTGCTACCGCGCACCTTTGCGCAACATGTCATGGACCACGTACGCCCGGTGGTCTGTTCGCAACACGCTGTTGTGTTCTCGTCTCACCCACGAACGAACGCAGCCTTCTATCCTGAGACGCCACGTCGAAATATTTTACCCCTTTTCGCTTGTTGCGTACACTATCGTACTGTGCGACCTGCATAGTTAGTAGGCCTTTTATTCATCACTGTACGTACA